CTGCTGACCTTGCGGTTCACAGCCCGAGTCGTAACCACTACGCTACCAGAGCTCCTTTTATATATATATACATATATATATTTATATTTACATATATACATACACTCTGGTAGCGTAGTGGTTACGAATCGGGCTGCGAACCTTAGGGTCAGCGGTTCGAAACTACCAGCCGCTCCGCGGGAGAAAGATGAGGCTTTCTACTCCCGTAAAGATTTACACCCTCGGAACCCTGTACAGGGTCGCTATGAGTCGGAACCGATTCAACGGCACTTAACAACAACAACAACATATACATACACATATATATTTATATATATATACACACACATAAATGAGTATTCATCAACAAGTACTGTTATAAAATCATAGAAATCTTTATTAAACAAAAATATCAAAATGTGAAGCCATGCACTGTTTCTCCACATATCCTCCCTCTAGGTCTATATATTGTTGAAGGCAGTGTTTCCATCTCTCTAACCCTTTCCAGGTAGCATAGTGGTTACGAATCAGGCTGTAAACCACAACGTCAGCAGTTAGAAACTACTAACTGTTCCGCCAAAGAAAGAAGAGGCTTTCTGCTCCCGTAAAAATTTACAGCCTCAGAAACCCTATGCAAGGTCACTAGGCAACTCCACGGCACATAACCAACCAATCCAACCCTTTTCAGAAGAATTCTGTGCTCTTCAATTTACACTATGTCAGTATCCTTGAGGAACGCAAATCATGTTTTTTTTTTAAATGTTCTTTAGGTTTTGTAAACAAAACCAAGTCTGAAGGGGAAAGATTAGGGCTGTAAGGTGGATGGGGTAAGGTTTCCCAGTGAAATTCTCAGAGGACAGCCCTCTATTATCCTCAGAGAATGAGCATGTCCATTGTTCTGATGGAAAAAACTCTTATCAATACTTTTCTGGCTTTTTTGTCACCAATATCACTTTACATTTTCTTAAAACTTCTTAATAAGTGCCCATGATCTTCCTGTGTCCCTCAAGAAAGTCTTTGGAATCCCCCAAAACAGTCACCACAACCTTCTAAACTGATTTCTCTGCCTTGAATTTAACTGACCCAGTAGATCGCTTCAGAAGCCACTGTTCTGATGGGATCTTTTTTTGAAGGCACCCTAATGAGACTAAAACAGTGTATTACTGAGAAAACTTGTCTGCAGCCATCCATGGATGACAAGAGATATGTTTAAACACATTTTGTTTGGAATAAACAAAATGTGTACATATGAGCTGGAAACACACATCGACCCTTGAACAACATGGATTTGTACTGCATGGGCCACATATATTAGGATTTTCTTCCCTGCAGCTATTTTGGTGACTTCAAGTGTTAAAACTGCCATGTGAGGCTAGTCATCTCCACGTGAGCAGGTTGGAGAGCCGATCTTAGCTCACCAACTGCTCACATGGTGATGACTAACATCTCACGGAATTTAAGTGGCTACTCCAAACACTGGAGTCCTGGTGTGGCGCTGCGGGTTAATGCACCAGACTGCAAAGCCATTTGAACTGCAAGGTCGGCATTTCAAGCTCATCAGTCGTTCTTTGGGTCTGTGACATAGCCACAGAGGACTAGAATGGAAAGTGACGCAACCAGCTGATAAGAAGTGAGGGCATATGCACAAGAACACCCACACTTGCAGATAATTGACCTGGCTTCAATGACTGAATGATCAGAGCTCAACTAGAAGAAGAGGGAAAAAAAAGAGTAATCTGATGTAATTTGATGAACTTGACCTACAACTATGGATGCAGTAGCTCAAAAGAGGGAACAAATCTTTATAGCAAGGATCATTCCCACTCCCCCCCCCCCCCATACACGACATAGACAGGGATGGGCAACTTGGACATTGGCTACCCAAAATGGGGGGGCGGGGGGGCGGGGCTACAAAGGCAAGAAGTGACTGGCTTACAAGCTTTCAAGAAGGAATCTATATCCAGAGTGTGAGGAGGAAGGTAGAATCTCCATTGAGTAGTATCCAATCTGTCTAGGTGGGGATGATGAAAGGAAATGCGGCTAGGTCTCTTGTGATACAATAATGAATAATTGTTATCAGGACTGATTGTGAGGGTTGGAAATGTAAAGGTAAACATTTTGTAGCAAGGAGGGGAGTGATTTACTTTGCAGTCTAGGAGCAGAGGTCCTTGGGACCATCAAGGGAGAGGAGCCAAGAGTGGGACCCTATCCAGAGAAGCAGTGACGCCAGAGATGGAGGCAGAGATGATGCACGTGGAGAGATGGAGTGGCTGGGGACTTTAGACCCAGAGAGGGAGAGGAGCTTGTGCTGATGACCGGGGATGGGGGTGGGTGGGTGAGGGGCAGGCTTGCAGGGTGATTGGTTGATGATACATGGAGAATACTGTAACCATGGCAATGAAATGATATACAATAGGATGAATACAAAACTAATGATCTCCCATGTAAAGTATCACATAACTCAAAATAAAACATTAAAAAAAAAGGGTCGGTATGGGTCGGAACTGACTAGACAGCACCTAACAACAACTCCAAACACTTGAGTGTCCCTCAATAGCCAACAGAAAACAACAACACCCTCCCACACACAACCCCCATATATGCGGGCTTGTTAAGTGCAGTGGACTTCGTTCTGAAAAGGTTCAAAATCCTGTTACTCAAGGGTCAATTGTAAATTATATACAGATTTTTGATAGCTGAGGAGGTCAACACCTCTAAACATCCCTCTCCGGAGTTTTTCAAGGGTTAACTGTGTATATATGAATTGTTGTTGTTGTCATGTGCCATCAAGGTGGTTCCAACTCATAGCAACCCTGTACAAGGTTTCCAAGGAGCAGCTGGTGAGTTTGAACTACCAACCTTGTGGTTAGCAGTGCATTGCTGATCCTACGGCACTACACCAAGATTCCATATATGAATTAGGAAGTTACAAAAAATTGTGGACAATCCACTCTGTTATTGTTGGGTGCCACTGAATCAATTTCAACTCATAGTGACCACTGTACCAGAAAAGCACTGCCCCAAAGGGTTTTCAAGGATAGCAACTTCTGTCTCACTTTGAACATGTGATCAGGAGGGACTAATACACTTGAATATACATGATAGAGGGTCAGTGAAAAGGAGGAAGACCTTCAGTGAAAAGAACTGAAACACTGGCTCTGGATACATCTACTATTTAGTGAGGGCACAGGACCTAGCAAGTTTTCGTTCTGTTGTACACAAGACATTAAGAGTCAGGGTGCACAAAACAGTACCGAATAACAAGGACAGTCTTTAAGGGAACGGATCACCAGGGCTTTCCTTCAGCAGAATCACTGTGTGGGTTCAAACCACCAAGGTTCTTTCTCATGCTGAATGGTTTTCCTGAAAGTGGGGAGGCTCGGTAGAAGCTACCCTACATTATTTTTCAAAAGACCATTCATTGGATGATGTAGACTCATCAAAAGCAAACTATTTAAGTACAATATTTAAAGAATGAGAAATGAAAAGTTCTGGACACTATTCTAAGAGAATGTCTTTCAAGCACAGAATACACTTTTCTCTCTGAATTTAATCAGCTAAGTTTGATGGTTTCATTCGCATCATTTAATGAATAAAAAAGATGGTTTATGAACAGCAAGACAAAATAGACTTTTGTATACCTGTCTTTCTTAGTAAGACTCCTAAATGTGTTAGATGCTGTCTTGTCCCCAGTGGTCAGCCAGCAGCAGAGAGCTACATTTCCTGGCCGTGGTTGTTGTAAAGTACGGACTCCTAAGGACCCTGTACAGGGTTTCTGAACCTGTGAATATTTGCGGGAGCAGAAACTTTATCTTTCTCATGCAGAGCAGCTGGTGAGATGGAATCGTGACGTTTTAGCTAGCTTATCCTAGAGTGCCTCTGGTTACAGGAGCGCAGAGGCTCCTTCGTGGAGCCACAAATTTTTTAACTTAACTAACGGTTTAGGTGATACATTTTTTCAAGATCAAATGTTTTGGTAGCACACCTGTGTTTTCATTCCTCTATTACATACATCTGTTACCTTTTAGAGTTCTGATACTTCCTTTTACGCCTTTTATGTTTCTGCTATGCCCTCTTCAAATGGCAGAAACCTGGTGTATAACTTACATTTCTGGTCATATTTTTCTCGTTCTAGTTTTGAGATATTGAATGGGCCGTAGACTACTCAGATATAGTGCAAAGACACCCTATTTAGATTTTCCAAGCAAAGTGTATGCGTGAAAAAGCGTCTCTTCGTCGTTCATTTTATTAAACTAACGGTGCGGCCATGCTCAAACGCTGATATTGGCCAACCACTAGATTTCCAAAATGGCTTTGCTCTTTTCGAGCGAGCATGGGACTATAAAATGCAATTTATTTCCACTGCAACCAATCTTTCTCTCTACTCCAAATATTATCCGACACACAGATAGCTGAACTGAAGCTCATCGGCTAAATTCAGCAGCACGTAGGAAGAACCTTTAATTGATATAAAAAGAGCTCCGTAGGAAAAAAGCAAAAAACAAAACCCATGAAGCAAACCCATAAAGCGGGCGTCGCCCAGGATCGAGCCCTCCCGCCGCTGTAGTGGCTCCGCCTCTAGCCGTCTACGCTCGGGCCTCACCTCCCACCTCCTTCGCAGTGACCACGCCTCCCTCCCTGTGCCCG